GTTACTCTGCTTTCCCTGCTCGGCCCAGGATTTGACACACAATGGCCATTTATACAGAGATTTTGACCTATGAAAAGACATGATCTTCTGCTTGTGTTTCTGGCTATGGAATCACCAGTTACTGGTAAAGATCCAACTTTCCATTTCTCATGAAAGTCCTATTCTCGGTTAACTTCAGATTCTTTGTACAGATCAGCCAGGAGGAATGCCTTCGTGCTAGGAAGAGATTGCAACAGGGGCTATGGGCCAGTGCGGTTACTCCCACGTCTTGTCTACAAGAGTTTGTGCCATCGCCAACTGTTAGCAGTGCTGCTGTTACTCTTTCATGCAATATGAAAACAAGTATTTGTTAAATAGGGCTAAGTTTGCGAGGACCCTTGGTGAAAGGAGAAAGCAAACAGATTTCCTCTGGAGAAGAGAACTGCCCCGGTTAGATGATGTAGGAGATTAGCTGGATAGATAAGTCCCCTCTCCAGAATACCTTTCTTGATGTCCAGATCTGGTATTTGTAGAATAGAGTCCGGATCCCAACTTGATGGCCCCTCAAGCCTTCTTCCTAAATGGTTCTGGGGTATTTCATGTTTACGTTGCCTACGTCTCTTGGGCGAGGCTTGGGTGGGGGATTTGTGAGGGAGGGCAAGTTGGGACAGAAAGCTAAATCCTCCTCTGGCATGGTTAAGACGATTTTTGTTTTCTAAAGGAACAAAATTAAAAAAACACACACACACACACACACACAAACAAAAACCCACACTTATTATCACAGCACACACATGCAGAACACATCAGTTTTATCCTCCAGCAATTAACATTATGATGGAAAAGACACATGGATTAAAGGAACGAGATTACGATCCTATGTGTGGGAACTATTATTTTGGAGTTGAAATTAAGCATTTACATCTGTTTCCTTATAAAGAGATGAAGGTTGACTACCTGCCACCTTGAGTAGCCTGTCTTTATGGTGGAAATCTAAGGAGGTATACAGCTGGGAATCTTCTTTCCCTAACTCAATGGCTGCAAAGCTGCTGCCACTGTTGATAGGATGTTGCTTTTCCATGGGGAGGAGGGGTTAAGCCTGTGCATCCACAGTTAGCTATCCCCCACCACTCTACAGTGCCATGCAGAGGGAACTCCCCGGGAAGCAGGGCTGTGGAGGCCCATGTTGCGGATTCTCACTGGACTTCATGCAATGGAATCACAGTGGCTTGTTCCCAGTATCTGAAGCTGGCCCTGGAAAGGATATAGAAATGGAAATGTATTTGGAAGGCCTAACTCAAGTGCTTGCTGAGGACAATGAGACAAAGTCAAAACCTTCAGTGCTACATTTCTGGCTCTCGAGGCCATCTGTGCAGGAAGACAAAAATCATGTGGCAAACAGAAGTCTTAATAATCAAACAAACGGGGGTGGGGAGGTCAACTTCTCTATTCAGCAACACATGCAGAAGTGCCCCTGAAATGAAGGAGGGAAGTTCGTTTTAAGAGGGCGTCTTTCAGTCCAATACAAAAGCACCAGCTTTCACCTGACGAGCTAGATTCTGCTTTCTCTATTAAACTGCACCAATCCCACTGAGGTCAGTGGGGTTATGTAGGCATGAGCAAGGGCACAAATTGTTCCCACCTTCGTATAATGAAGGCACATGGCAGTCTGAAGAGAGCTGGCCAAATCCATCCCCTGGTGTAACTCCATCAGAGCTTGTGGCTTAATGAATTTGACCCACATTGTCTGCAAAGCTTCACTTCCTCAGGGAAGGGAAATGTTGGATATTTACACGAAGGCTTTATTCAGCTTGTCAACACCTGAGGGCAGCAATCGCCTCGTTCTATGCTTGTGTAGGCCCCAGCGCACTGGGGCCCTGATCCTGATAGGGACCTTGGGGCGCTACCATGAGATACATCTTTAATAATCAACCCTTAACAACTCCTCCTCCAGGATTTACCTTCCTGACTGGCTGAGCTCAGCAATTACCCCAGGGTGTGAAACGTGCACAAAACAAACCCCCTGGTAAGGAACCTTCTACCCAGACAGATTAACACGTAGCAAGGCATAACACATTTTATTGTGCAGTCCCACTGTGTGTTTTGTGTATTTGCTCTGATACGATAAACAAAAAATCCTCTCCTTAAGAAAGGAAAACCCCATTTGTTAAAGTGCAGGTAGTTTATTCTCGCCACACACTGACATCTAGCAAAGAAAATAAGAAGCTACTCAACCCCACTGTAACATATGCACAAAAATGTTACATGGCATAAACACGGGCTGCATGAGAAATCCTAATCCTAATAATACTAGGAACTTATATATACTGCTTTTCAAGGTCAAAGTATTTTAGATGCTTTAACTGATTCATTGTCACATGCCCATAAGGAGGGTAATATTATTATTCCTGTTTTACAGATGGGGAAACTGAGGCAGAGTGATTCCATGACTTGCCCAAAGCTACAGAGGGAGTCAGTATCAGAGACAGGAGGAGGATTTGGGGACTCCTATCTCCCAATCCTGCACACAGACCAGCACTGCACTTGGCCGAGTGCTCAGAGGAGGTATGTGCACATATCCAGAAGAGCAGGTGCCCCCTTTGTTTGTGGTTAAAGCTGGAATAGTCAAAGATGCAGCAGAGAATTGGGCAGATTTCAATGGGAGTCAGGAACATACAAACCTTGGGTTCTGTTGAATGTCCCAGCCTACACATTGTACTTCACATTATGATATTTACCTCAGGAGGAACTAAAAACCTTAGTGTTTAATTATAAATGTCATAGTTCAAAGCCTAGTGGTCCACTAAAGGTGACATGAACAAGTATTTTTTAAAACTGGGATTGTGCCTTTGGGGTTTTTGGCTTCCTTCCAGGTTCTCTAAAGTTTTTTTGTTTTTTAAAAATTCTTTTGGGGTTTTTGCCTTATCAGTATCAGGAACATCAGCCAGAAAAGCTAGACCAGCCCAACACTGATTTGTTGGGGTCGCAGAGAATGTCTATTGTTAATACTCACACCTTAATAGAGAGGAGGAAGAGGGTGAATTTTTAGCAAAGGCTGCCTTTCTCCAAAAGATTTCTTAGTCACTGAAGTTAAATGGGCCTTGACAAAAAAATTTTTTAACTCAATCTGGCGAAAAACCACTTTCACACTCAGTTGCTCAGCTTTGGTTCTTGTAATGTCATCATTTTGCTAATTCTCTAGTCCTCCGGGCAAAATATGAGCTGAATTTCTAACGTGTAAACCAAACAAGAAAAACTTCAGTTCCCTCCCCCCAGCCTTTTTTTTTAAAACAGAAAGTAGCACAAAAAAGGGACACCCCCCATTTTTTTCCCTTTGCACATTACCTTTAAATAATACGTGATGTGCCACCTGTCAGATCTTACGTTATTTATTGAAAAGTGCTGATCATATACCAGTTGCATAGATCACAATTATCAACTGAAGACTAGACATACCATTTGATTCCTTAATGTTGCACAGGGGCCAATGGTTGTTCAAGGTTATCAATTATCTTTTATACATGAACAATTTATGCCCATAATCACTCCAACATGCATAATATAGTGGCAGTCCACTGTATTATAATTGTAGGCATCTGTTCTTCCTAAGGGTGCATTAACAATGTGTCATTGACAATGATAAAATTGGGCTTAGGTGGAATAGTTCCAACTTCTTATTAATCACTGAAAACAGCCTCAGACAAGCAATTACATTCGCTATCCTCCCTCACTGCAAGGCGCCCAGCTAAAAGCAGAGACTGACTCTTGCCATCAAATTCAGATACGGGATTTAAACAGCCCCAGACATTCTGGTTCAGCCCCACCTCCAGTGACAAAGTTAGCCTGCCTAAGTCTTCAGCAATGTTTGACTCCTCATTGCAGGAATTCATGTAAACCTTGTAGGACTCAAATCCTACCTATTCCAATCCTACCTGTGGAATGCCTGCTAGTGAGGGCGCACTGTATTTTAGGAGAATACATTTAAACAAAACATGCAACTATTGTAACAAGAAATTAAGAGGACAAACAGCCGGATGGTTCACCCATGAATATCTGGAATAAGGGACCTCCATTTCTGCAGACATCAGTTTCAAAGGTGCAAATTAGATCAGTTTTCCCATTGGGGGAAAAAAAGTCGGCCAAACTATTCCATTCACACCCCAATTCTAAAGGACAGGTGAGTCTAACACAACTACAAGAAGTTATTACATTGGTATAGATAATAATAAATAGTAACACCACCACTCAGATGTAAGTATGTATATTCTTTTTGATATTCAGGCAGGGATCAGCTTTACAATGGATCGGAAAGCTCCATCCTTTGCAATAGACAAGGGAGCTGTTTTCCTTTAACAAGGAGCAAAATGCTTTTCAAAGAAGACCCTTGGCCATGCAGTCTGATGTTCTGTACTGCTATTATTAGACTTAATTAAGCAAGCAATCGGGAGGACCGGCAGGTGTTATGACTGACCCTCACCAGGAAACACTGTCAACAGCAGGAAATACCCTCAGTGTCCTATTCTCCCCGTCCCCAACCCTTTGTATCTGATAACACTGCACAGTGTGGAGTTTGAAGGATCATGGAGCAATACAGTGGTTAACTCCAAACCAGGCTATATGTTAAAAACACACACACAAAATAAAGACAGTTCTACAGGTCTATCCTATACATTGAGGTCAGCCTGGTGTGTGGTGCTGCTACTTTAGTGCTACAGTGAGAAGAAATCTTGGAGGGTGCGAAACACTTACTGTTAGCTATGTTGGAAGCAGTGTAACTGTCTGCCATTCCTGAGACCTGGCTGGCAATGCTGATCTCACTGGCCCTCCGGAATCCCCTGAACTGAGGGGTTGTAATGGGGGTGGAAAGGGACGCATTTTCCATGAAGACTGCACCATGAGACTGAACAACATCTGCTATGAAGTCGAAACAGGGAAATCAAAATATTAGACCAACAGACAGAGACCAGGCAAGACGAAATCAAGAGGAGAAAAGGAGGCAAACAAGGCAAGGATTGGCTTTCAGATGCAAAACCTTTCAAACCAATTGGAAGGAAAACGCATTTAATCTCAGCTCTATTTTGAAAAGAAAGAAAAGGCAAAAGGAGAGTTGGCATCTAGCATCTCATTGTCCGATTGAGAAAAGCAAAAGAATCAGTTTAAACCCCAGCAAATCAGGAAAGGTTTGCTTGAGCAGCAAGAATAGAAAGATGTTTCATGCAGACCCATGTGAATATATACAGCTTTATATATTCACGTTTAGCCAGAACAATGGGGGGAAAGGGCGGAAGGTAAAAAACTGAATTTAGGAGATACTAGTTTTATAGCATCTTTTAAAGTAAAGGGGAAGGTTTCCAGGGGAGATATTGTCATGCCAGGGTGGGCCTCATGTTGGACTTGTAGTTAAGGTGTGTTTACATTGCAATCCAAGGTGTGATTGCAGCTCAGGCAGACATACCCAGGCTAGTTTCAACCTACATAGCCCGGCTAACAGCAATGAAGACACAGCAGCCCGGGCTTTAATGTGGGCTGTACAAGCCCACCCAAAACCTTGGGGACATACTAGCGTTGCTGGCCTGCACCAGGATTTGTGCCACTGTCTCTGATATTTTTAGCTGCGGTAGCTGGATTAAAGCGAGTGTGGGGCCGCCTACTCACACTGCAATCACATCTCCGGCTACGGGTAGACGTACCCTTAGTTACTAAAAAAATACAGCCACCATTTGTGAAACTGAAGGCCTCCAGTTAGACTCCTAACTCCATATTTAGGCTTCTCAGTAAACGTAGCCTGGGTGTTGAGCACTCAAATTTCCCTTTAATTTAAATTGGATTTGGTGGTGTTCAGCCTTTTTGAAAATCAGGCCACTTTTATTTAGATACCTAAAATCTGGATTTAGGAGCACAACTTTAGGTCCCCAAGACTTAAAAAGTTTGGCCTTATCCTTCAGGAAGTAAACACGAGGGGAATGAGGAGTAAAAATCACACTCATATGGAGTGCGTGTGTGTACGTATGTATTATTAGTGGGAAATTAGTTCTATAATGCATGTAACTGAGAAACTGTGAGGTTTATGTGGATCTATTGGGCAATCCTGCTTTTCTGTGGGAAAAACTATACATTAAAAACATTTTAAAGCATGGGGGAGGCAGTGTTACCTAGTGGCTAGCGCAGCAGATTGGGAGTGAAGGTGACTCCTGGGTTCTTTTCCCAGCTGTTCCACTGACTTGCTGTGACTCACTCAAAGCCACACTTAACTTGTGTGTCTCATTTTCCTACCTGTATTTGCTTATAACAATACCTTCCCACCCTACAGAGGCATTGCAAGGCAGAATTAATTAATGTCTGTGATGCACACGGAGATCCTCAATTTAAAGAAACTATGTCCTGTTAGTGCAACATACCTAATGGAATGCACAGCTGACATGGAAAGCAAGCAGGTGAGTTTGCACTTTTATCTGAAGTTCTACACTGCTGCCCATCACTGGAGAATCAGAATATCTGCATCTGAACTTTATTCACAACTATCAATCGATTTTGTGCAAGCAGGCACAAAACACCAAAACAAGGAGGAAAATGCCTCCCCCAGCAACAAAAGTCAGCTGTAAATTAGGGCTGTCAAGTGATTAAAAAAATTAATTGCAATTAATCACACTGTTAAACAATAGAATACCATTTATTTAAATATTTTGGGATGTTTTCTACATTTTCACATAACACAGAATACACAGAATACAAAGTGTACAGTGCTCACTTTTTATTTATTTGTATTACAAATATTTGCACTGTAAAAAACAAAAGAAATAGCATTTTTCAATTAGCCTAATACAGGTACTGTAGTGCAATCTCTTTATCATTAAAGTTAAACTTACAAATGTAGAATTATGTACAAAAAAACCCTTCATTCAAAAATAAAACAATGTAAAACTTTAGAGCCTACAAGTCCACCCAGTCCTATTTCCTGTTCAGCCAATTGCTCAGACAAACAAGTTTGTTTTCATTTGCAGGAAATAATGCTGCCCGCTTCATGAATCTTTAGCACATATGTCCCTTTATGCTTCAACCACCATTCCAGGGGACATGTGTCCATGCTGATGACAGGTTCTGCTCGATAGCAATCCAAAGCAATGTGGGACGACGCATGTTCATTTTCATCATCTGAGTCAGATGCCACCAGCAGAAGGCTGATTTTCTTTTTTGGTGGTTCAGGTTCTGTAGTTTCTGCATGAGAGTGTTGCTCTTTTAAGACTTCTGAAAGCAAGCTCCACACCTCATCCCTTTCAGATTTTGGAAAGCACTTCAGATTCTTAAACCTTGGTTTGAGTGCTGTAGCTAGGGTGACCAGACATCCCGATAAAATCGGGACCGTCCCGATTTTTAGCTGTTTGTCCCGCGTCCTGACCGATCTCTGGTCGGGACGCAATTTGTCTTGATATTTTGCTCTGCTGGCAGCACTCGGCTTTTTTGTTTTTTGTTTTGCCCGCCCACGGTGTCCCGATATTTTCTTCATCTCATCTGGTCACCCTAGCTGTAGCTATCTTTAGAAATCTCACACTGGTACCTTCTTTGCGTTTTGTGAAATCTGCAGCGAAAGTGTTTTTAAAATGAACAACAAGTGCTGAGTTATCATCCAAGACTACTATAACATGAAATATGTGCCAGAATGCAGGTAAAACAGAGCCAGAGACATACAATTCTCCCCCAAGGAGTTGAGTCACAAATTTAATTAACACATTTTTTAACGAGCGTCATCAGCATGGAAGCATGTCCTCTGGAATGGTGGCCGAAACATGAAAGGGCATATGAATGTTTAGCATATCTGTCACATAAATATCTTGCAATGCTGGCTACAAAAGTCCCACGAGAATGCCTGTTCTCACTTTCTGGTGAAATTGTAAAGAAGAAGCTGGCGGCATTACCTCCTGTAAATGTAAACAAACTTGTTTGTCTTAGCAATTGGCTGAACAAGAAGTAGAACTGAGTGGACTTGTAGGCTCTCAAGTTTTGCATTGTTTTGTTTTTGAGTGCAGTTATGTAACAAAAAAAATCTACAATTGTTAAGTTGCACTTTCACGAAAAAGAGATTGCACTACAGTACTTGTATGAGGTGAATTGAAAAATACTGTTTCTTTTATCATTTTTACAATGCAAATATTCGTAATAAAAATAATAATATAAAGTGAGCAGTGTACACTCTGTATTCTGTGTTGTAATTGAAATCAATATATTTGAAAATGTAGAAAAACCGTCCAAAAATATTTAATACATTTCAATTAGTATTTTATTAACAGTGTGATTAAAAATGTGATTAATCGCTATTAAAAAGTTAATCGTGATTAATCACATTTTTAATCACACTGTTAATAAAATACTAATTGAAATGTATTAAATATTTTTGGACGGTTTTTCTACATTTTCAAATATATTGATTTCAA